ACAACCACACACACACACACACATATACATGTTTCTAAGCCTGTGTGAGGACCACGTGTTTCTACAGGGTTTGTGTGGGCCACCACTTCCACTGAAGCTGGAATGGTGCAAACAACTAAAGTACCACTAGAAGGGGGAAGAGAGTCAGAATATCACTTCAGATTAGAAGTAAATCCAATGTTTTACTTTTTTTTTGGAAAATAGTTTTTTTTCGCTGTTGCTAGGCTGTTGCTAGGCTGTTGCTAGGCGGAAGTGTGTGTATGTTTCAAAACAGGAAATACAAGTCCAGCCTTTTGCAGCCAAAACTAAGCATCATAAAAACAATTAAATGGCACAATTGTATTAAATACATATTATAATATTTTAAAATGAAATATTTGTATCATGAACCTTGAATATTTGTAATTTCACAGACTCAAAGACAACAAATATTTATATGTAGATATTTTCACTTACTCAGGGTTATGTAACTTAAGGGTTGGGTACCGAAACCCGGTGCCATATACGACCGGTACTAACCGGACCGAATGGCAACGGAGATTTCGGTGCCTGAGGTGTCGGGTTACACACAACAGAAGCATCACCGCCACACGTCACCTGCGTGCCATCGCCAATTCACAACATTACACTCGCTCTGATAGCTGCAGCTAGGGTACCGTTAGCTCGTATCTACAAACACGGTGAAAATGCCAAAAGCTAAAAAGTCTAAAGTGTGGCTGTATTTCAGTCTAAAAGATTCAAACAGCGCGACATGCAGCAAATGTTTGAAAACAATTGCGTGCAAAGGGGGGGAACACGTCCAATGTAATGAAGAACCTGGCGACGCACGGCATACACTTGAAAGCAGAGGGATGCACCGTGTTCGACTGCTTGCGTGACCCAGTGCACATCATCCGGCAGGGTGGGCATCCCTGGCCACGGGGATTTGGAGACAATTATTTATTTTTATTTTTTACATGTTACTTGTTAGACGCTTTTATCCATAGCCACTTACATACTCAATACTGTGGACAATCCCCACAGGAGAAATTAGAGGTGAAGTGTCTCAGGGACACAACGACATGCTGACTGCAGTGGGGTTTGAACCTACTCTCCAGCTACAACAAGGACCCCATTCACCTTGGCAAAGAAGGCCAATTTGACTAAACACAGGGCGGATTAATTACACAGGGCTGTGACCAAATGTGTGGTCAAGGGACTGCATCCTTTTTCCACTGTGGAATCTCCATGGTTCAGCTCCTCTCCTCCCACTCCTCTCTTCCGAGGTGGCGCCAGACTGCTGCTGTTTCATCAGAGGCCTGCGACATCCTTTTACACCTGAAACCACAAATGTAAAAGAGGTCGTCCTCACTGTTGGAACAATTATTCAGTCCAGCAAATGTATTTATATTATTTATGGCTGATTGTGCTTTTGAGTGTATGTGCTTGGTGGCAGCTTCTCTAACAACCGTTATCTCTGTCCTCTGTAAGCATCAAAATACACATTTAAATAAAGCTTAAATATAAGTTAGTGCCTTGCTAAAGGGCAGGTCAAGCAGAAATAGACATCTTGACTTCTTAAATGTGTTTCTCTATAGATTGTGTCTATTGATATTATGGATATTGAATTTAATCCTGTATTTGAGTACATGAAATATACCTGCTGTCTCAGGTTGCTGCGAGCGTCTCTTGGTGGAGGTCGGAAGGTCGACTTCTTCTACAAGGAGAGAAGAAATCACCTTAGCATTAGCTTTGATTCATCATGCTAACAGATATCAAAGTGTCCCAGCAATAAACTGAAGTGATGTTCATACCTTCTGAATGCTCCATTAGTTCAGCCCTCCTGTTGGACCGCTTTGCATTAGAGGGCCTTTGAGAGAAGAACAGGAAGAGAAATATAAAATATATATATATATAACATACTGTATATTAAATTATAACATTAACTGTTGTTAACTTTGTAACCTACTCAAGTCTGCTTTAACTTACTGAGAGATAGACGAACACTTTACCTCGAGATAAGCCCTGTGTTTCAGAGGTTAGCTTAGCAACTAGCATAGTCATTGAATGTAAAGTTAGCTAAACAGCGTAATTCAATTGATTAATATACCAGACGGCCAGCCCACACTTAATTTACCAAACACTTTTCTTTAGACTAGCTTAAAACATGAACATTGCCTTACCTTCAATACAATTGGTTAATGGTCTCCGGTTCTCTCCCGTTTTACATCTCGTCCTGTCGCTGCTGCATCCGCCTGTTCCGGCAGTAGAGTGTTCCAATGATCCGTTCAACGTCAATACGAGAGTACAATACTAAGATCCACATGGTCCGTTGTAAAACTTGAAATAATTCAAAAATGCCACACGAGGAGGAAGTCGCTCTTCATGAAAATCTTGACAGTATTTAGACATTTTAAAACGATGTTTAATCTTGAAATAATGACTCCAACTTGAGGGACTCCAGCAGTCTTGCAAGTTTAAATAATGTTCCTAATCCTATTCTCAGTGTGTTAAACAGGGATAAATCCAAAATAAGAAAAGTCTCAGAGGAACATGTGCCCCTTTCACACCAAAAACCAGCTGCCAAAATTAACACTGGTTCTATCTCCGTGCTGGTGCTAGAACGGTTCGCAATTGGTTCGTAACTTTGAACCTGTTTGCTTTTCCACTGACAAGAGCCCTGTAGGAGCTACGTCATGACGTCGCCGTTTAAGCCGCTACGTATATTGTACATATCATCAACAATGGCAGCCTACTAGGAGCTGACGGAACCGTACTTAATGTTGCTCCTACACTTACGAAGCCAAATTGAATTGAAGAACCACCTATGCACTTTTATACACAAAGTTTATGGCTTATTACTGTTATCCAGATTGACGTAGTAAACTTTTAGCCACAGTTTTAGCAGCATTTGCCGAAAATGGCAGTGGTACGCCGCTCGTGTCACAGCAGCGTTTTAGCGTACCGTTTACTCACGGGAGCAGCCGCTGGAAGTAATAATTCACTCTCTGACTTTCACACAAGCAACGCCCCCGGATCCATATTCCCAAAAAATTCATATTATTGTTCAGTTTAAATGTAGGATTTGGAAACAAAGTGCCGAAAAGGGTTTCTGGATAGCGATAGCCACCGCAGTAGGTTCTCTAATCAATAACACTGTTGCATCTACTGTTTTATACCGGCGTATTTTTCACTTTGAACTAACTTGGGTTTTTGCCTGATATCACAACATGTTTAGCCTAAGGATTGATAACAGCTGATAGCCAGTGTTAAATAACAACGGACTAACGGCTTGTGCCGCTGTTTAAGACTGTTACGCCTCGTTTCCACATACGTGTGTACACGGAGGCGCACCAACCGGAAGCCCATTCGCTTCCCGTCTGATGAAAAGACCAGGAGTGGCTGGATCAAGTTAGCTACCTAGCTAGTACCAAGCACGTTAGTTAGCATTACAGCCTTAGCCTTGTCATTTTTATTAGCCTTAACATGAAGTAACATTAAGTAACCCAAAATGTTAAACAGTAAGAGTAGTAGTCATATTTTGTGAACCCTTTGAAGAGTATTGTCACACCGGTGTGATCATTCTATAATACACTGTTTAAGCCCGGATGCCCCCGGTGGACACATGCTAACGCTAACGCTACATTAGCATCGGCAATCTTTTCTGCTTCATGCTACACTGAACAAAAATATAAATGCAACACTTTTGTTTTTGCTCCCATTTTTCATGAGATGAACTCAAAACTCTAAAACATTTTCTATATACACAAAATAACCATTTCTCTCAAATATTGTTCACAAATGTGAAAAAATCTGTGATAGTGAGCACTTCTCCTTTGCCGAGATAATCCATCCCACCTCACAGGTGTGGCATATCAAGATGCTGATTAGACAGCATGATTATTGCACAGGTAATAAGGGCTGGCCACAATAAAAGGCCACTCTGAAACGTGCAGTTTTGCTTTATTGGGGGGGTCTGGGGGGATCCGAAAAC